GTACATTCCGAAAGTTACGTACTTGCCGCATCATCATTTCAACTCCATGCGTTAAAAGAGAGACAGAGACAGAGAGATCAGCACTTGCCTCCGTAACTTATCAGATATTTACGACAACTCTCGGCAATAAGTTGTATTAGAAACTGCCAGATTGTGCATTTCGTACTCTCGACCATTGTCTATCTGTGCAGTTCGGTCGGCAATAGTTTTTCACGTGCATATCGGCTGAAATCTGTCTACTCACGATAATCTTCACTTTCTTTACCAATATTTTGATGAGCACCTGATTTCACCGTGCTGCCTCACACATGGGGACAATTTTTATGGAGTATTTTGATCTTTCTGCTGGGGCATCATTTCACTCACAGCTCAGGTTGGTCCTGACAGGTAGAGTTGAAGGCTACTCCCTAAAGGATCTAAATTGTACCGATGGGGGCGTAAAACACCAGTTAAAAATAAAATCCAAATCTGCACCAAAGTTAAACCATTCTGAAATTTTAGTTTCTTTATTTGTTATCAGTTGTGATGTGACAGTTTTTGTAGGGCCAAAATGATTCATTTCTTTGTTTGCCTTCTTTCCAGGGAGCTGCAGATTCGCGTTTTTTCTCCCATCCGCAATGCCTGATCAGGCTGGCACGGTTCACTTTGGAAGCACACTGCAATGTTGTAAGTATTGGAGCCATTCCATGAAAAATGAAACTGAACTGACACACATAACTTTGGGATGGTGAATGGGTGGTTGATGGATGCTCTGGTGAGGTTTGCTCCTTCTTTCCTGTCAAATGTCTATCGCCTTTATCTTTCCTCTTTCTTTTTTGTGTCTGTTACACTCTTGTAACATATCAATTCTTTTTGCTTATATGGCCTAATTGTGTTGTGAGCGCCGTAAAATTCATACTAAAACTAAACAGGAGATGGTGACCTGCTGAAGATTTTAAAAAAAATAGCTATAGATTTGTTGAAAGCAACTTTCCTCTAACAAGATTTTTTAAAAAATATTTTAAAACTTGCTCTATTACCATCACTATCACTGTTGACAATTTTTTCAGCCTGTTGTCATCCCTGTGTTAATTGTTTCACTACAATTTCATTGTTCATGGAAGGGTCCATTGATATGTTTCATACTTAATTTGATAAAAGTAAAGTAAAGAATAACTTCCCATGTCTTCAAGTGTCAGAACTACTATGTCAATTGTAACTGGTGCAAACTTTGTTAGTCTTGGGGAAGATGTAAAGTTTCATTTTGGTCTTAAAAGATTTCTTGGAAGCTCTTTTGCCTCATGTCTTAATATTGTGTGAGCTATTCACATAAGGGGGGGGGGGGGAACTGCCAGTTTTTACCCAACTATATAGCTGAATTTTAGGTGTATGGCCTAGTTTTCTACTAGTGATTAACCATGTGGTACACCTTTTTTAAAAATAAGCAGCTGTTTCTTCCCATTTTATGTATTTGTTCTGATCATTTTTTTTCAAGTTTGAGAAATAATGGCAGATTGCATTATTAGTGAATATTTTTGCTAGTAAATAGGTTATATATGGGCTTTGAAAGTGAAGGTTGGTTCCAAATTTTGCTCTCAGATGTCAACCATAACTGGCCTACTTTTCTCCGACTTATGCATTGTCCAATCAAACAGGGAGTTAAGTCCCATCTGCTCTGGGATTCAGAGATATGAAGAACCGAAAAAACAGATAGGAGTTTTCCACCTACCACCATGCTTGCCAGTAAAAAACGGATCAAATCAGACACCTTGTCACGACAAGCAAACAGTTATTATTACTAATGTCTTCTTTTTGGTAAAAGCACAAGATAGCCCTCTATTTAGAATTATTTGACCTTGTTTGCACACCCATGGTCTTCATTCTTCTATGGGGCACATGTAATGTCGTGCTAGAAAATGCTTTTAATTTATTTTTAACTCTTTGAACACAGGATTTTAAGTACATTTTCTCGTAATTTTATGGGGGTGAAACTTTTACTTGTCAACATGGCCTATATGAACCTCTGTTCCAGGCCCTAGATGTACAGGAATATAGTCATGACGTACATCAAATCAAAGTTGATCGCATTTAGAAGTTGAAGATATAGGTATCTTGAATAAAAGTTTAGGTTGAAATAATGGAAGAGATGAGAAATTCGGATGAACGCTGACAGCGTTCTTCCGTGGTTTCGGGATTTCCTGACTAATGCTGTGAGCATCATTCTATTTTTAAAGAATTAGAAATGTGGTGTGGTATTTTACTTCTCTGCTTTCTTCCTTTATGATTGGAAATCTTCAGACGAGGAATAAGCGAGCTCGCATTTTGCCACTGATCCTTGGAGCTCCCCTGATGAATGAAGAGGGCTCAACGCTTGTTGTTGGGATTCCTCCTTTGGACACAGATGATGAACGCAAAAAGTATGTATCCGATAAGCTTCAAGCTAGGCAGATTCATTTATTCATTTTACGCTCAAATTTTCTGTATAAAATGCAATGAAGTCTGCTTGTACTGAACTCATTTAATCCAAAAACAGCAGTAATCTGAAAGAAAATTGTATCCCCAGTTGTTTTTTGTTTTTTGGTGCTGTTTGAGCATTCTCTCTAAAGTAGGAACATGGCTAAACGGAAGAAAATCTGACGGTCCCGTAGATTTCGGTTAAAACAGATTTCACTGTAGTAATGTTGAAATAAAAGGCCATCATGTCTTTGAATTTTATTCACTGCTACACAACCTCAGTCTAAGAAGGGTGTGCCCCTAACTGGGATGATACCTTGCCCGGCTTCAGTGTGGATGGCCCTGGTTCAACTCTCTTAGGGAGCTTCCTTATCTTTGTGTGGCTCTATAGCTGTGAATGGAGCAAAAGTGGTGAATGTTGATTAGTAAAGTTGAATGGGCATGGCGGTAATATTTAAGTTTTCATTCAAAACAAGTGTGCCTGCTTTCTGTGGAAGAAGATAGCTCCCTTTTTTTGTGTTTGATGTACAAAGTGACAGGTGTAGCATTTTGAAGGTCTCACAATGATAATGATGTGAACTGTCTTAAGATTTGTGTTTCATTTATTTATGTTATTGTAAGATTTGTTTTTCATTTATTTATGTTATTGTAAGATTTGTTTTTCATTTATTTATGTTATTGTAAGATTTGTTTTTCATTTATTTATGTTATTGTACTTTTTTTTCCTTCAGTTTCTTTGGCAAGGCATTTGAACAGGCTGCGGAGTCCACCAACACATCTGCCAAGTTTAATAGTTTTGAATCCCATGGTGAGTGTTCAGCAATATTAGTGGACAGAGACACCCTTCCTTTTAAATTTATGCCTACTTTTAAAATATTGTGTACAAACATTTCATGTGTTACTCTCTTGATAAGTATATATATCATGAAGAAAGTTAAAGGATTATTTCTCTCTCTGTACTTTCTTGTCATCTAATACATTGTAACTGGGTGAGAGTGAGTCTGATGTTTGGACTGCTCTTTCACCTTTGCGTAAGTCATCTCAGCCAAAATTGGTCTCATAAAGCCTCAAATTATCTTAATTCTTAAATGCGTCTCATGGTAGGGAAAGTGTTAATTATATTTAGTGTGCATTGTTGCATGGGCGACAGCGGAAGTGAGCACATACTACGGCTTAAAGTAGCTAATGGTATTCAAAGTGTTAAAAATATTCTCCTTTGCAGATAAATTGTTTTTTGTCAGACATAGAGGATGAGCTATTATATTATTGGCCTCCTAATTGCTTATCATCTTTGTCCTTTCTAACGTAGTGCATCATTGATGTGGTTTGCCTCTTTTTTTTTTCAATCAAATGTCTATTGTCTTTATCTCTCCTTGTTCTTTCTAAGTTTCTCACTAGTAGTAACACCTCTAATCTAATCTTCAACACTTATAAAATTATGTGACCAATTTGTTTTGGAATGTTGTAAAACTTTCACTAAAACTTAACTAAAGAATGTCATGGTTTGTTTGTGGTTGGTTGGAAGAAGTAATTGCAATTTTTATATTTTTTCCCTCCTTTGTTTCTGTCTTTCTTTCTTGTTTTTCCCTGCACTTGATAATAATTATAATGTGAATTTATGTAGCACCTAATCCCTGGTAGGTTTTAACTGCTATAACAAAAGGGAATTATTTTTTACTTAGCAGGCTACAACTGACTAAACGAAAGATTTACAAAAAATGCTCATTGTGAGACCATTCAACTAAACACACACAGAGACATACACATAAACACTCACACAGACACGCATATACAAACACACACTCACATTGTCACATGCAGAAACTACAGTCAGAGGATAAACTATGTATCTTTTTTTAAAGACTTTTCTTAATGGCTGTTGTCCTTGCCCTTCTTTTGCTCAGTCTCCCCCTCCCCCAACCAGGGCTGTGCTACTGACTGAAGTTGTCATTAAATCATTCCCAAAGAGGGGATATTAAAATGTTCTTATGCACAGGAGAATTGTAAATGGGCTGCTTTATCGATGTCATGCTCATATTGTGCCAGAACAACATAGGGGGAACTGTTGCTCTTTCTTTCCTCATCCTTACTTTGCTCATTTTCCTCTACTTCTTTTGTATGTTTGTCACTTTCTTGTGAACTGCTATTTCCGGGATGCCTTGATAGTCGAAGCAGACTGTTGAGGCTAGAGAGGTGAGCAGAGTAATCCTGATTTCCCGTTTGGACTTCTCTGTTGACATCCACTCCTTGGCGCTCACATGACCTTATGATGCAGTTGTGAGCGCCGTAAAACCTTACTAAAACGAACGAACTAAAGTCATGTGCCCTTTGCTGTTTTTTGCTTTTCCCCAGTCATTGAAATGAAATCAGAGGACAAGAGCAAGTTCTTTGACGCCATGATTGGTCTCCTGCAATGATGTGTTTGAACTTGTGGAATAGCTTATTTATATACAGTGGAGTCCGCTTAAACGGAAATATGCGGGACTGCTAGATTTCCTTCGGTTTAGCCGGGTTTTTGGTTCAGAGAGTTTGCTCAAATGGAAGAAATAATAATTGGGGATTTTATTATTTTTTTCCGGGTTACTGCTGTTTTTGGATTGAACGTGTTCAGTTTAAACGGACTACTGTATTTTTCTCGTCATGAATGCCATGGAGAAAAATGAAGTCCAAGGACAAGTGCAAGTTCTTTGATGTCATGATCAGTCTCTTGCAATGGTGTTTTAACTTGTGGGATAGCTTATATTTATTTGTCATAAAAGCCATCGCGAAAAATGTCAGTTATAGGTGTTCAGTTTTTCGCTGGATCAATAATAGCAACAAGATGTTCAGTTTTCCAATATAATAGTTAAAGGGCATGGATATGTGTAAGCTGTGCTTTATGATTTTGTGCATTTCTTTAAACCTTATTGATGGGTGCTTATCAAAACTGACACCCTCTGATTAGTGTATGTTGTGCACAGTTTGTGGTGGCTTTTGTCAACACAGGGGTGTGATAAGCTTAGTTTTGTTGTTGGCAAACTGTACATTGTTACTTGTTAAAGTTACGATTTCTCCGAGTAGACGGTATAAGATTCTTCATGTGAAGAATAGGTTCAGGGTTGTTATCAGAATCATACTTAGTTATTGAGAACATCATAATGATATCATATACACTACCTGCAATGATAAATAATTTATTACATGAGTTTTGGTGTAAGATCATGATTTATCCTACGAGTGAAATTGCCAAGTTGTAATCACAAGATCTAGATCCAGGCTATTTTGCTTAGCCTACACTGAGGGATAGAAGTAGAAAGCGAATATAGATCTAGTGCGCGGAGTAATTTATGCAAATTTTTATACTTCACGTGTGAGATTTCAGCTTACCCAACCTATATATTTCAATTTCATGTGTGAAATATAAGGATATATTTTACCGGAAGTGCAATGCTAAAACAGTTCCAAGTATGGTATAAAATAGTAAAAACATTTGCATGCGTGATGATGATGATGGCTGATTGTTCAGTTGATTTCCTGTTTGACTTTAGTGCGGGTGACTGTGATTCGAGTCTCCAGTGAAGCATTTTTTAATTTGGGAATTTTGGGAGTGTCAAGTCTCTTTGCACAATTGTCTTGGCGATTTGGACGTTTATGGCCTTGATCCCTTTCTTTACACCCTTAGAGTAAATTCATGTTCTTTTAGTTCATGAGCCTAATGCTTAACAACCAACAGGTACATAAAAAACACATATTTAATACAATTTTGAGGGTCTGAGTGTGGAAGTCAGTTTTTATCATGAAAACTGCATGTATTTATGAAATTTATATTCTGCAATCTTGCATATCAAACAATCAACCTATATCTTACAAATTACCTTGAGATAGGAGTACTTGTGTCTTTATTTTCAAACTTTTTTCAGTCCCCATAATGCAGGGCTTTGTGGGTGGTTGGAGGGCGTTCTGATGTGGTTTGTTCCGTATATCCTATCAATCTTCTATTGTCCTTATCCCTCCTTTTCTTTGTATGTTACTCTCTTGTAACACCTCTAATCTTTGACACCTAATATATGACCAAATTGTGTAGCAAAACTTACTAAAACAAAAAACAACCAGCAGTGCTCTGTTCGTGAAGGAAAGATTGCCTAACAGAAGAACCAACTGTTGACTCCTTTCAAGCTTGAGGTCCATCAGAGCAACGCGAGAGTAGAAGAACACAAGCTCCGTTCTGTTTTTAGCTACACTGTGCCACAGTGTGGGTGGTTGGCGGGTGCTCTGATCTGGTTTGCCTCTTCTTTCCTATCAAACATCTACCATCCTGGTCTCTCCTCCTTTTTTGTGTTTGTTACTCTGAGCTTGTAACTCCTCCAATTTTCGAATATGATCTAATTGTGTTGCCAGTGGCATTAAACTTCTCCTAGACCTGAAAGCACTGCATTAGAAACTTGTGTAAGATGATGATGTCCAGATGTGTGCAATGAATGATGAAATTGCAGTAGAGTCTGCTTAAAACGAAATCTGTGGGAGTGAGACTGCCGGATTTTCTTTGGTTTGATTGAGTTTTTGGTTCAGAAAGGTTTCTCAAATAAAAGATTTTTAAAAATCTAGGCTTTTGTTCTGTTTCGGTTTACCGCTGTTTTCATATTAAAAGTTTTCGGTTTAAGCAGACTCCACTGAGTTTAAATGATCAAGTTAACCTATATATATTCTATTTTGTCTTGTTTTTTAGTTATGTATGTATGGGTGTGTCAAAAGAATTGCTTGATTAATTTTTCCACAACTGAATGCAGCAATTTGTTATTGTGATTTGTTAAGGGTTTTTTTTTTTTTGGTTGTTTTGTTTTGTATAAAAGTTTTCACCTTATAGTTTAGTCACAATCTGTCCATTTTCACATTCACATGTGACTTATACTGTGTCAGGATGGTGGAAGAGGTTTGGTATTTTTGAGGGTGGTGGGGTTTTTTTGGTGTTATTTCTGGTTGTTTTTGAGGGGGAGAGGGCTTGGTTGGCTTTTGGC